AGAAAAAAATGAAAAGTCATGTTTAGAGCAGAGGTTTGCAAACCACAAAGTAGAGGAAGGGGTTTGTAAGCAACCTGCGAGCTGGTGAGTAGAGTAGCATCTCTGACAGCCGACGTCAGGGAACGCTTAGAGCATCCCTGCGACCGGCACCTTTCCAACAGCTGGAAAAGCCTTTTCCCAAGCTGCCAACTTTCCGTGAGGATTTGACAGCTTCGGCTAATTAATCGTTTAAATTTAACCGAAAAGGGAAAACAATGCCATTGTCTTTGGGAGACAAGAATTCTGGTTTCAGGAGCCTCGCTACCCCTTTGCATTCATGGCAGTGGCTGTAAATATTTGGGCTTTCTTTGAGCTTCCAGCCCTGACGTAGGGCTGGGGAACTGGGGGCATGGGTGGTTTGCCCTCGTCATCATCTTGCGTTTGAAAGAAATGCTTTGACCTAATAACCGCTGGTGTTCGGGAATGTTTGGTAATGGATTAGTAGTGTGATACTATTAATATGTGAATATTAATTAATGGGAAGGTCCTAGATAGGATTCCCTGCAGGGGTGGGGGGGTGCACACCCAGGTGGAGCTGCTCTGAGAAGTCCATGTTAAATCCCATTTATGTTAAATTCTTCTTTGGGAATTAAGAATTAAAAAATGAGAACATCACCTTCTGAGATGTCTCAACCTTTCTTTCTTTCCATCTTCAAGGACTTTTTCTCTCCCTCTCCTGCATCCTTTCACTACATTTCACATCTTCCACCTTCTTTCCCTCTCTGACCATGAGCAAACGGGCATTGATGGTGGGGCAGAGGGACACGAGCAAACTCCTTGTACAGGTCAGGGCAAAGGTACCAGACTTCCCTGAGCTTCTGGATGCCATTGAGGACGGCTCCAGATGGTTATTGTGTTCCCCTAATTAATCTCCTCGTAAGCTGTAAGACAGGAAGTATTTCCATGAGAATCCTTAAACGCTGCTTAGGTTTTGGAGCTTTTAATTTGGTGAGCAATTCCGTTTTATAGCGATGGAATAAAAGAATGAATGTTTAGTGTCTTTGTAGAAGCGGCATTTTTTTTAAAAATGACCATTTCTGGTCTAACAGGGAACATCTGTGCTGGGGACGGTCGCTTTGCCAGCTGCTGGGTAGGGCGGTGCAGAACAAAAGCGACCCTGTTTATCTGCCGATCCGGACTTGGACGGTTGCATCCACCGGTAGGATTCTGAAGGCAAAAAAAGCAATGGAGCAGATTTATTTTGGGCTAACACATTGGGAGCAGAAGACATCCATAACTCATGGTTGGGAGCATTTTTGAACTAGCCTGGAAGGAATGGTCAAATTCCTCAGATCCTGCTCTCCTCCTCCTCTGGGTTGCTGTTTTGTACTATTCTGGTCAAATCCTCAAAAAAAAAGTGAGAAAAATGCTTGCGATGTCCCAGATAGATCCTGACTACTGGCCTGCACCCTTGGTGGGTGCATGTGTTTTTATCAGCTCCTCTGATTTTAAAGAACAGATAGATGCCCAACGTCCTCACCCGGTGCTGGGCTGAGGGTATGGCTCCGGACTGCTCGCGGGTGAACCCCAGGTTGGAGCCAAACTCCTGGGAACTCACTTCGTCAGCTTTGTAGTGGGCCTAATTCCTTGTGGATCCCATTGTGAGCTGCTGTTACTGCTATACCAGCTCCTTGCTATTCAATCGGGTATTGCTAGGCAGGATTCTTTCGACACATCCGTGTCCTGAAGACACTCTTGGCATGAGAAGGTTCCTACCTTAAGCAGCAGTGAGCAGGGACACCTCTGTCCCCCGCTTCCCAGGGCCAGCCGTGCCCACCGTGGGATCCTCAGGTGGATGCTGAGGGTTTCGGTGCCATCCTGGTGCTGGTGCCAAGGGGTGGTGATGGGGGTCCCTCGCTGTCAGATGGTTTTGCAGACCTTGCTCGCTGCCAGGCAATTGTTCATCCCCGTTGCATCTGATGGGCATTACTTCCAAGCAGCCGTGAGTCACTGTCCCCGGCTTATTGCTGCCTGCTGTCGTGGGAAGGGGAAATCAAAATAATAATGCTTTTGTTGCTTGCACCGAGCCGGGTCGGGGCAACGACGGCATCCCCCCAGCAAGGGACCCTCTCCTGACACCTCTCAAACCACGACCTGGGCACTTGGGCTGGGGAATCCTTTTTCCCAGGATGGGGGTTCCCCTCCGGCGGTGGCTGTGGGTTTGTTCCCACACCTCCCATCCAGCTTCTGGGCGCTGATGGACCTCTCTTTCCCGCAGGCTGGTGGTGGGAGCTCCCTACGAAACCAACGGCCAGCAGAAGACGGGAGATGTCTACAAGTGCCCAGTGACCAGCGACACCCACAGCAACTGCACCAAACTCAACCTAGGTACTGCACACCCGCGGGGCAGCGAGGGGAACGGGGCCTTTTTAACACAGATTGTCCCCAACAGCGTGAGGACTGCATGTTTCAGGAGGATTTTTAGATAAGGAATTATTTCAGGTGTTCACGTTACTCCTGGTGCTGAGTTTTAAGCAACGTTAGGGTAAAACCACACAAATCAGAATAAAGTTTATTTAATATAGCTTAAACTGTTTTATTAAATGACCAGGATAAATTTGGCAATGGATAATGGTCCCACTAGCAAATACCTGACTAGGCGGTGTCTGCGTTCCCTTGCCAGGGGATGCTCGGACGACGTGCCCACCGCAGCGGGTTCCCGGGGCACAGGCACGTTTGACTCCCAGCACCCGCGGCTTTGGTATTTGGGGAGTTATCACCCACCCCCACCACCCCCGGGCCCCATCGCTGCTGTCGCGGGAGCAGAGACCCCAGGGGTGCTCCGGTCCCGCAGATGTCCCAATCCCATCTCCCTGGATGGAAGGAGCGAGCTCTTTCTCGGGGTTTTTCTGGCTGGTCCAGCCATGCCGACAGCACAATATCGCGATATCGGGACATGCTCTCCCCAGGTCGGGACAGGGCGAGGCACGGGTGGGACAAATCCCCTTTGCTGCCCAGAGTGGGACACCCGACACGCATGTCCCTGTCTCAGCGGGGAATGTGAGAGCCAGGGACTTTCTCATGGTCCTGAGGAGCATCGCTGGGGTTTGGGGGCAAGGTCTGGGATTTTTTAACAACACTGGAGCAGCTGTTCTCACTTTATTTTTCATCATTATGAATCTGAACTATCCTGGGTTTCTACCAGAGCTGATAAGAGAGGAGGAAATTTGGATCGTCTGCAATATTTGATTGATTGGCTCCACATCTTTTAATTTTTTTAAACGTTGTTTCCTTTTTTCCTTTTTTGTGTTATTTACTGGGAGAACATTGAGATTCTTCACGGAAATAAATCTCCTGTGTGTGTAAATTTGAATCTCGCTAAAAAGCAATCTTTTTTCCATTGGAAACGAGTTTCAAATGAAAAGATGGGTTCCATGAGCACATCCTATTTTATTTTTTCCCCAATTAACTTGTCTAGTTAGCACAATCCACTGAGGCCATTTGAGTAAAATCAGAGGTGTAGCTGCCGTGGGGGGAGGCCAAGCTGACAGCGAGTGTGCCGCAGAGATGACCGTAGCGTGGAAAAAGCACGAGCTGACACGGGACAGGGGCTCTGCCCCTGCCCTTCGCACACCGAGCGGGCAGCAGGCACAGGAGCCTCCCCCGCCCCATCACAGAGCTGTGGTCGCAGGTGTAGGGTACCTGGGTACCAGAGCAGGACAGCAGGGCGTCAGCCTCTGCAGCCGGGATCCTGGAGGATTTATAACGTGGGCTAAAGCCCCTTTTTTTCTCTGGGTTCGCTGCGGCGTGCATGCAGGCAGCGGGTTGAAGCGAGCTGGGGGTGCGGGGGGGAGAGCCGGGGCTGCAGCCGGGCGGTGGAGGGCAGAGGCCAGGGGGTGTTGGAAGCTGCTCAGCATCAGGCTGAGCTCTGGGTTGTGGATCCCAGTTTCTGAGCCTCCCCTTGGTTTAAGCCTCAGTAAAAAAACTTCCAAAGGCCACAGGCAAAGAAACCAACCCCCTAGTTTTACCATTAATTGCCCAATTTCCTCCTTCTCAGTTTGCTTCTCGGCCAAAGCAGCAAAGGGGGAGCGCTGGGTCGCGGGGAGCAGCTTTGCCCCCCGAAGTGGAGTCATGGCTGGGGTAGGCAG